AGCATTTTAAGCGCATTCTCCTGTCTACTGCGTGCTTTACACAGTTCGAAAAGGCAGCAAGGAAAATACTGAATAAAATTAAATCAGTACCAATGCATCATTTTTTTAATTCTAAACCAAACGCAACAAAAAGCTATCATGCAATAAATCCGGTAAAATAATCAGATTAATACAAGCATGCAGCGGAAAATCTTATGTGCATAGACTTAAGAATTCATGAAGTAACGACTAATTTTAAATACTGTTCTTCATAATGTATGAATCTGTAGGACGAAATAATTCACGCGAACGATTAAGGTTTGATAACTACAAAAGTACACTGCAAAAAATTCAATTCCCATAAGCTCTTTCGGTTTGGGGAAAGGTCAACTAAGGGATGCACAGTAGTTATTGCTTTCAGTTTTATTAATGTTTATGCGTGGTGCTAAAATGTAAATTTAACAGTATGTTTGTATTTAAGCAACTTATATGAACTATTTTTTTTAAAATTTACAATCCGCATCATCCACAACAGTTCGTTTTCAAATCAACTGGTGGTCCATGATTTATTAATTTCGGTGATACAGTAGCTCGTAACAAATCTACAGTATTTTGATTGGGTCCGTGTTCAATTTTAAAGTCGGGAACATTCATGTGTCAAATAACACCTTAAACAGTCTTTTGTTTGATGCGATGCAATAAAGTAGTTTTGCGTAGTTCTCCTGGACTTAAATAATAATATGCATTAGAAATCCCTGGCTACACAATAATAATTTGATAGTTCCTTCTTACCTGTGAAGTCGATGACAAGCACTAAAACTTTCTACTCGGGTTATGTATGCAAACCGACCGATAGCATTGCTCTCCGAAGCTGTGTTTCCTTCCATTTTTGTTTTTCAAACGCTATGGCGTCTGTGGAAAATATTTAGAAATAAACAAGGGCTACCTTGTTTTTAGCGACTACATACACGTTCAATCTTAGTTTTATACTTTCTTAAAAATTCCAAGGTTCCCCTTTTAATCAGAACCCGAGTTTATGTGTGGATCTATTACATAACCAATACAAACAACCGTATTTAATTTAAATGTTACGCTGACACGTATTTCGTGTCACAGGTCACGTAAAACGTTTTAAGCATGGTGATGTAACATTGTCAATTTGCAATGGTGGCAGTTATTCAGAAAACTTAAACTTTGAATATGGAATAATTAATAAACGAGAAATCGATTTGAAGTTCCCCTTAACGTATTTATGAAATTGGTTCCCCCTTCTGGTCAAACTGGGTAATTTTCTTCAGTTATTCTACTGTATATACTGTATTATACCAGCAATTTGAAGCAACTAACAAGCTACAGAATACAGAAAGAAATTGCAAAACCATGTTAAGTATACACACACATATAAAACATTTAGTGTATTCTCAGGTGGCATGGTGGTGCAGTTGTTAGCATTGCTGCTTTACAGTGTGGGGGCCCTGGGTTCAATTCCAGATCAGATCAATTTCAGAAACTCAGACATGTGGGTACACAGAAGCCAAAAAAAGTGTTGAAAACACAGAGAACAGTTCTAGATGTCAGAGGGAAAGCAAACACACATATTTGCACAAAACTCATGATGTATTAGGCGGGATGTTCAAGCTCCTTCTGTTGGGACTTTGACGTTGACGAGACAAAAATAAAACATTTATTATATATAAAAGCAGCATTGCAAAAACAAACAAACAAACAAACAAACATATTACTAGGTGCCATGATTTAAAAATGCAATTCGACTGCAGCTTAGTCCATCTTCCCCTTGTAGTCATGCGCTTTGCTACTACTGTATATCTGGATAAAACTTGTATTGTATGTTCTCCCCATGTTTTACATGGTGTTTCTCTAGGCGCTCTGGTTTCCTGCAATAGTCAATAGAAAACATACTGTTAGGTTAACTGGCTCTGTCAGCCCTGTGATGGACTGGAGTCCAGGGTGTACCTGTTGCTTGCTGAGATAGGGTCTGGCTCCTCCTGCACTCCTGAATTGGATGAAGAGGTTAGAGAAAGGAGGAGTAGATGGATGTGCATTCTTGAAAAAGTCATTTATTATTATGGTAACCAATACTGTACATATATCTGTAAGACAAAGTAAACAAAATTCTGCTGTTCTGTTGCTCCTCTGTCCCATAGATTCAGAGTACCAGAGATCATTGGAATATGTTGCTATCAGTTATTGTTAACTTATTAAAATCAGCTTTTAACAACAATGACTAACCTGTTATGTTCATTTTTATGGTCCTAAATGGAAAGTCAGGAAAACAATTACCCCAGGAACAAATAAATCAGCACAACCAACAAGCTTAAAGAAATAAAACGGGTGGAGTGGTGGCTCTGTGGCTATGGATCTGCACCTGTGGCTGGAAGGTTGCCAGTTCGTATCCTGTGGCTAGCAGAGGAATCCTACTCCGTTGGGCCCCTGAGCAAGGCCCTTAACCCCAACTGCTCCAGGGGTGCCGTATACAGTTAATGGCTGACCCTGGGCTCTGACCCCAAGCTTCTCTCCCTGTCTGTGTGTCTCATGGAGAGCAAGTTGGGGTATGTGAAAAGACAAATTCCTAATATGAGAAAATTGTATAAGGTCAATAAAGTGGTCTTGATCTATACATAACGTTTGCAGGTTGCTAAAACTGACACCAAATCCAAGACAGGATGGTTTCAGCACATTGCTGTCTACTTGCTTCATTCGTTAGACTTATATTGGCCATACATACCATTATTGTCTTATTTTGGAAAGGCACTTAACCTGTTTCATACACTTACTGTATTTCTTAGACTACTATCAATCAAAAAAATTGTTTTTCATTTTTGTGGCCTAGTAATATGTAGCTCTTAGACAGTTACAAACAAACAACTGTAATTTCTGCTATTACTGTTTATGTTCAGTGAGTTTTGAGAAAAAAAAGTCAAGGTATGCATCAAGAAAACATTTTTGTTGTTCTAGCACCATATTTTGGAAACAGGGAAAAAAAGTTAAGAATACTAACAATCAGTGTCTTTTCTAAATATATTAAATAGGCATATTTTCAATATGGAAGTGGTGGGATGATTTTTTTTGTCAGCAATCATCACACTGTAGCTGCATAATGTAGTTTTTAATTCTGTTTTAAAGATACTGTTCAACAGAAGCAAGCATTTGACCTTGTCTTGAATCATGCAGATCCATCTGCCCATTAATTAGCCCCCAGTGGTTACTGAAGTAGTACCAGATGTAACCATGATTAAATATCCAGTTTTAAGTTAGTCCACTGTGCTCAAGTGCACATTCTAAATATTCACTATCCTCAATTACATATAATTTTCTAAACCTTAGATAGAATGTCGTGAAGATAACTTCGCTTTACTTTGATTATCCTTGATAGATTGCCACCCTCTTTAATCCTAGATAGGCTCATTTTAATCCTCTCACACCCACTGAATAAGATTGTCTTACCTAAATTGTATCTGACTTCACATTATGTAAATCTGAATGTAGCTATTCAATTGAAATTTGCATTAGTTCTCATAATAGATTGTTTGAAAAATGTATTTTTCTTTCTCCATTAATTAACACCAACCCATGCAGATAAATGTTTAATTGAAAAGCCTGATTTAAAAAAAAATATATGGGATGAGTTTACTTACAGTATTTCATCTTTGACAAAGAAGTATACTGTAGTACTGTAAGTATGTCTGCAGTCACAAGTCATCTGAGTGTGGCTTGCACATCCATAAAAACACAGTGAAATTGCATATCAGTGACTTAAACCAGGATATGGAGCAAGGCTGGCCATGCAAACTCTTTCAAGAAGACACTACTACAAAAGATCTTTTTGTTTTCTCTGGAAGAAAATGTGTGAATACCCAGGCTGTTACTTTGCTTAAGTTTCATACCCAGGCTAAGTCATGTGGCAGATAATTATGCCTTTTGGTAACTGAGACAAATCCAACCATATTTCCTCTCTATCAGGCATATCATAGTACAGGCACCAAACAGAAAATGTAGAGAGGACCTCTGTCCCATATAAATGCCTAAAGCCTTTTGTTTGTATGTATTTTGATATATTGCTTAAGTTGGGTTCTGTACCTGGATTGCGTTTGGTATGTTCTCATATTCTAAAGAAATATATATGCTGAAACTAATTTTCTGTTTCATTTATTTATATGCCTTAATTTCCTTCGGTATATGTAGTGTTTTCTCCTTACCTCAATAGTTGCCTAGACATGCTTCAAGTCATTGTAACACCAGATGGCTTTTTAATCCTGCCTCTGCTACTGCTAAATTAGAATTAGTGCCTAATGAAATACGCACAGAAATAAACAAGCTCCTTATCTCACCTGCACTACTCTCGGGATCATAAATGGTTTGCATCAATAAAAAGCAAAATCATAAATACTGCCATCACTCTTGCGTCATAGCCTGTCTGCAGTGTTTGTTGTCTACAGAGACTCAATAAAACATATCCTACGATGAATTATTTGCCCTGTATGGAATAAAATAATTGCTCCTATTTGCTAAAAGGAACAGATGATTTCCCATATCCCATATAGATGTTATGAGACCTATATCATAATAAAATGTTTCAAATAATTTACCCTGTTCAGAAAGTGAATAGTATAACTGCTATA